TTCAAGTTTTGTGCAAAAACGCATGATCGCTCCGGCTCGCCTGGTGCGTTCCAGCCTACGTTGATTACATATTTGGCCCCGTCTTCTAACATCCAGCCCATTTACATATTTGAACTTTTTGATGAACTACCGCCCTAGCAAAATTTCCACTTTTCAGTGAAGGACTGGAACTAATGTTGGGAGAGGAAGAGTGCGATTGTTCGCTGCAAAATACATTCATTTCCAGGCGAAACCTGCTTAAAAAGCTGAACTAGAACGCACGCTCGCACCAGGCTATGCGATTGTTCGCTGCAAAATACATTCATTTCCAGGCGAAACCTGCTTAAAAAGCTGAACTAGAACGCACGCTCGCACCGGCTAGCCTGGTGCGTTCCAGCCTGGATTTGATAATGACTTAACTGTCCGGCGAGCAACTTTTCTGCCATAACTTTTAAGTTGCCGTACAAGAGAATTAGGTGTGAGACTGAATTTGAAATCTTTAAGTCGCAGGACATTCTATTAAAATTTCAGCCCTCCAACTTTTCGGGCTCGCAAGTTGGTAGTTTTCCTGCCAAAACTTTCACATGCCTTTACATGAGTAACACGAGTACTTAGGAGTTGAATGTGAAATACTTATTTTGTACTTGGGCGGGAACATCCCCCTTAAAATTTCAGCCGTCCAATTTCTCTAGTTCCCGAGCTAGCAATTCTGCCACAAAAAATTTTCAAATGAACATGCGTGAGAACCACGCGTGCCTAGGAACTGAATCTGAAATATTTAAGTTATGCGTGAGCAGGGCACATTTACTCAAATTTTCACCTTTTTTGCTTTTCTGACTTCCGAGTTAGCAACATTTCCGCCAAAGCTTTGATCTAATCGCGCGCAAGGCTCAGACATGCATGAGGGCTGACCCTCAGCCGCGGCAACGGCATTTTTCAGCCACGTTCAGAAATCCTTCTACGGCGCAATAATAGCGAATTACCTTACCACATTACAATAATTATAATGTAACAAGGGATAATGAATCACCAAGGAAGCACTGGGATTGTGAAATGCCAAGTGAAAGTTATAATAATGTGACAACCCAAGTTGAAATTCCAAGCGAATTTAGTGCCACTCATAGCAAATCTTTCTCTCAAGTTTTGGCGATGAGCCTTGTAAGATTAGTGCACTAATGCGGGAAAAGAATAACATGTTAAAATATATCAATTGGCGATAACTTTGAGAGAGTAATCTCATGAGCTGTGCAGGAGATGCCGGAGCAGCCCACTGATTTGGAGCAATTTCATCGTTTAACGGAACTCAATTTTGCGATGATTCGAGCTAAAACTGGTCGCGGCTACTACGTGAACCCTTATTACATTGCTGCCTGGTCGAATGTCTTCTTGGTAAGTTAATTCTTTATTCTGGTGGCGACAAAGATTCAGATTTTCTCTTGCGGTGACTAGTACTGCAAAGGGAATAAATGGAACTTTTCTGACTTTTTGTTGGGTAGTTAATAGTAAAATAAGTTAACAAGTTTGATAGTCATAAAACGAAGATACTCACCAAAAATAGTTTTTTCTTATTGCATTCCTAAAGAATAATCGAAAGTGTACCAGGTAATGTTTTTTCATTCTATTATCAGCAATAATTGGCGTTCCCATTAACTGTAATTACGAAAGAGAAAAATAGCGTACTATAGCCTATCTTTTTTTCTCTGTACCTGCTACGAAAGCCATATTTAACGCCGGAAGCAGGGCTGGAATGGTACCGAGGAGGAGATGAACCCATGCTGGAATGCACCGGGCTGGCTCGTGCGATCATGCGTTTTTCGCCGGACTTAAAGTACTCAGATCGTTAAGTGCATAAATGGTTGTTGCTTTACACCTACTTTTTGCAGTCATTAGCATAAATCACCACATATATTATATAAAGAAAATGCACAATTTCAATTTAACGATTGTTTTTTAAAAATAACCTAGTTCTTCAGTGAAAAACTTTTCCTCCAAAAATGTTAAGCACTCGTACGTAAGAAACACGCATACCTCGGGGCTGAATTTGAAATACTTGGGTTGTACATGGACAGGGAACATTCCCCTAAAATTTCAGCCTTGCAGCTTTTTTGGTCACCGAGTTAGCAATTTTCCCGTCAAAACTTTCACGTGCCAGTACATGGGTACTCCACGTGCCTGAGAAGCTAAATTTGAAATTTTTAAATTGCACGTGGACAGGAAACATCCTCCTAAAATTTCAGCCTT